AAAACCCATGACAGATGAGAAATATTTTGTTTATTATTCTCAGACAACCAATGTCTGCTTCCCACTTTGACATAAATTGTGGATATGGAGAAGAGTTCATTTGTAAAGGAAAATTAGATAGCTGAGAGACACATTTGGTGGGGAGTGCAGGTGATGATAACAGGATTTCAAGAGGGTTAAATTCAGCAAAGGAACAAAGCAGCTTTGGAAGGGACTATATAAAATGGAAGAGTGAGTGTGTTTCATTTGTTCAGCTGCTGTTATTTGCTGGGGTCTGTCATAGCTGACAGAGGTTTTAAGATGGGACCTTGTACTACATGCTGTAGAAGAAGAGGTTTCTCAGGACAGGGTGGCAATTATGAAAGTAGGGATCCATGAGGCAATGTACAAAGTATAAAAGGGAGCAATAGGAGTAATGGTAAGTTACACAGCCAATTTTGTGCTTGAACATTGTGAAAGACAAAATCATTAGTGTGGAAGTATAAGGTAAAGGAGGAGAAAGAACCCAGAGCATTGTGTCAGGATCAGTAGTGCTTAGCTGGATTTCTATGTTTACCAATCTCTTAGGACTCTAGTGAGAACAGCAGCCTGGCAGTAACTATTAAAATGTGGGAGATAAAACACTCCATTGAGTTTGAGCTTATTCTATAGAAAGCAATCATTGCATTTGTTTAATTAGTTATTCATTTCTTGGTGAAATGTAAATATCTGTACAATTAAGTGAACCATGTTCAAACAGAAAACATAAAAGTAGAATTGTCCCGAGAGATAATGTACATTGCCAGCTGGGGACCTTAGGCATGCACACATGAAGTACACATGGCATATGTAGCATGCCCTGCCCCTTTCTTCCACCCCCCCTGCCAGCAATTAAAATGATGGCCCAGACTGACTGAGTAATACATCAGTAGCTGCAGTGGCTGCTGTCAAATATTGATCCTCTAAACAGTGTTGGTTATAACTTTTCAGAAGTATAATTCAGAAAAACAAGGTAACAATATTATATTGTTGATTGAACTTTGATCTCCCCATGATGTCAGACAAAGCAATTTTTCAGGTAAAAAATGCAGAAATGTAAAATTCACAGGAAGTATATTGGTGTGAGACATTAGTGTAGAATTTGCTAGCTATGCTTATGGAGCCTATACAATATGAATATGTACAATCAAATATATAATTCTGTGAGCAAAATGTGCCAAAAATGATTTCTCTCTACTCATTTATTTTTCTTCTAGTAACTCTTTTAGGCTCAATGGCTTAATCCTTACTATTGATCCAAGTTTACATTATGGACCTACCTCATCACCAAACTTCCATGTTATGGCGTTAGTATTAATTTGAAGTTGCTGATCCTCTGGTGCCCAGGATGTAAAATTTCCCACATCCTTATAAATCACATTGTATGTATCCTTATGTATACAATTTGTTATTTTGTAGTGATAAACAAATTCTCCGTATTCATTAAATAATGGGGCCGGCTCATCTAAACCAAATGCATATTTAACTTTTCTTAAATATTGATGCAACTTCAACATGAATATAGAAAGAAAAAACAAATGTGTTAAAAAATGAATAGAAATCTGTCACAGGGAAAATCATTTCTAAATACTGACCTTACATTTTTTTCAAAGCCTTGGTCAATACTCATCTACTAGTTAAATTCCCATACATTATTAAGGCCCCATTCACACCTGACCGTTTTGTAGCGCGTCCTACGCTCGACGAACGCTCTACAAAACGGTCAAAAAAATAAATAGCATTGTAGTCAATAGTATCGTTCTCACCTGTCCGTATTTTCGCCCGTTCCGAACGCACTACAAAACGGCCCACGCATGAAAAGGTCCCGGGACTACTTTGGGCCGTTTTGTAGGGCGTTTTCCATTTGGATACTGCCAAGTAGCCTTTGGAATCGCGCGACGGTCGCGCAACTTTTTTACCGCGAATCACGGTAAAAAAACTGCGTGACGGTCGTGCGACAGACGCGCATATTACAATACGCATAGGTGTGAATGGGGCATAAAGCTGACCACATTTTATTTGTCAAAGGCAGGCAAGCACACGATGTAACATGCAGGTTGTTAAATTTGATTAGACATTTGAAAATGTACCCATCCCTGTTACTGACAATAGGGATGAGCCGAGTGTTCTATTCAAACATGAGTTTTTCCAGAAATGTAGGATTACTATAAAACTTCTTTCATGGATCAAAATTAAGTGATGGTTCCAAAGAAAAACTATGAAGTCAAACTGAGTAGGCCTTAAAACCCCAGTACAATTTAAAAAAGCATCTGTTGGCCAATATGATCCTTTCTATAATGGATTACCAAACATATTAACATAAGGGTGACATGCTCTGAGTAATGGCAGAAAAACATGAGGGAACCAACTGCCACCTGGGTAAAACCTTGATGTTTGCTTCCATTAAAGAAGCATTTATACCATCTTTAAATATATGAGAAAATCGCATGTGCCAAAGTTCACAGTCAATAGCATCCTCCTGACCTTCTTACTATGCAGTCATATAAGTAGCTTTGTCAGTAAAGGAGTTCTAGTGACATACATCATTGAGATCCCTCTTCTCTGCCCATCATCTTGTAAGTACATAATTTCCTGTTTACTGTGGATCATAATCTTTTGTTTCAAGGTTAGTGTGGAGGAAATGTAACATTTAGCACAGTATACATTTCCAGAGGTGGGCAATCAACCTCTGATAAGGGACCCCTATGCACTGGCTGAACTACCAGGGTCGCAGAGGTCGCAATTGCTACCGGGCCCTGGCGTTCCTCCACTTGGGGGGCCAGCAAGGAAGAAGAGCCCCCCCTAGAGAGTGCCGCTCCTTCCCTGCCGCACAGCCACCCGCAGCATGTACGGGCAGCTGTGCAGCAGGGATGGGAGAGGCTGTCACCAGCAGAATATGCTGCAGGCACCGCTGGGCAGCACATTCTGCTGTGTGAGGACCCGACCCTCTTAGCCCTGCCCCCTGACCAGGAGGCAAGAAAGAGAGGGCCCTGCTGGAGAAGGAAGGTGAGTCTGGAGTGGGAAGGGGGGTGCGGTAAAGTGTGCGTGTGTGGGGGGGATGCTGGTGTAGTGGGACTATGTAGTGCTTACTTTTATTATAATGTATTGCTGGGACTTGTAGTCCTGCATAGCTGGTGATATTCTACATTGCTGTATGATGAATATACAGTAATGCAGAATATGTCCAACTATGTAGGACTACAAGTCCCAGCAATGCACTATAGTGGGGTGGGATGCTGGTGGCATTCTGCATAGCTGACTTATTATAATGTATTGCTGGGACTTGTAGTCCTGCATAGCTGGTGATATTCTACATTGCTGTATGATGAATATACAGTAATGCAGAATATGTCCAACTATGTAGGACTACCAGTCCCAGCAATGCATTATATTTTTAAGTAGGGATACACCAGTGCCAATATTGGGAATTTTCACAAGTACTTCTACTGGTGAGGAGGCCTTCATGGTTTCTTGCACCAGGGCCCTGAAGGTTCTAGCTACACTTCTGCCCCTATGTGTTGAGGCATGTTATGGTTCGGAGGGTGCATGCTCATCCCTCCACTTTCCTGGCTTGCCAGGCTGAATGCTCAGAATAAAAGGGCCTGGTAATTGATTTTGAGGGGTCCCCATGTTATTTGCGTGGGATTTAACCTTAAAGTTGTATTTTCTCTTTTTTTGCTTGGGGCTCTCATTTAACATCCACACAACCCCTAAGGGTCTGGTATGGCATTTGGAAGGACCCTATGTTGTTTGTTTGTGGGAGTGGGGGTCCCCTTAAGATCTATAGCAGAACTTAATTGGCTAAAAGGGTCTGCTATAGATAAAGGGAATAGCCAGCTGATTTATTTATAAACAGAAAGAAGTGGCTGAGATATGTTTAACTCATTGCTAGTAGTAATCAGTTAAACATACCTGGGTATGGTTCATGGGAGGCTTGCTGAACTGCTGCTAAGTTTGAACAATAATTCCAAACGCCATTGGAGTTGAAAAAATCAAAAAGCGGTGAGCACTTTTTTAAATAATAAAGTGAAACATTACAAATTCATTTTACTTCAAACATCACCTGCTTGTGAAGTGGTGCACCTGTAGGATGTGTAGGGTGTACTGCAGCAAAACGTACATGCCATGGCATTTTTTCTTTCACAAAATTGCAAATTTCACAAAAGGCAAACCCAAAAATAAAAATATTGTGTCCATCCCCAAGTCAGTACCAAAGCCATATTCTTGATTAGGGACTGATAAAAAAAAGGGAAGCCCATAACAAAAATGTACAATGGGGTTCCAGATCCTAATCCTTTGATTATGTCAGCATCCCCCACAAACTATTCCAATACAGCCAAACATTGCTACAATTCTTTTACTTGGGTGTTGAATAATTGAAATATCACTGTATCCCCTTTACCTTTCAAATGATCATCAACTCCAGTAACACATTACTTTATACATTTCCTAAAATCCCTTCAGAAGATTGTGTACTCTACCTTATGTCTGTAATAATGAGTTTCCATATCGTACAATTTTACTTCATAGAAGAGATTCATATCATGCAGTGCTTTGGCCATAGCTTCTACAGCATAATAAATTCTTGGAGAGGTTCCTTGATGCACAAAATTAAATAAATTTGGATAAATGTCTTCATCCACAAAATCATTATATCTAAATGTACATAATATGGTTCTATTTGTGTTTCCTTTGTTGGCAGACATACACTTTGCAATTGATAAAATGTAGTTGGAATTTGTTGAATTATTTACGATATACGTCTTGTCAATTCCATCAAAAAAATGTTCTTTATTTGGAAAGAATAAAGGATATAATTCTATAGATAAGCTACCATTAAATTCAGCTAATGGACTATATCTAGAAAAGATAAGATGCCTTAGAGGAGGAACAATAAATGTTATATTATAGAGAGCATTAGTATAATATAAATATTTACTATATGCATTGTGACTGATATAAGATCCACATAATACAATTACTTTAGCACTGGAGGCTTCCATAACAGAAATGCCATGTTTTACAGCGGGCTGTTCATGAACAGGATCCTTATAAATATAAGGTCCTAATGATAATGTAAATTCAACACAAATACCATTATTTTTCATGTACTTTGTTATTATCTCTTTATCTTTGTCTCCGGCATCATCTTCTGATGCAAGTATTCCAACCCACGTCCAGCCAAAATATTTCAACAACCTAATTACAGCCATATAATGAACATGATCGTTCTGAACCATCCGGAATACATGAGGATAGAGAAGCCTATTGGTTAGAGAATAGTCCGTAGCTCCATAACTGATCTTCAAAACAGAAAAAACATTATTTTTTAATGTTTGTAACTAATATTAGATATGCCCAATCAGATATCCACAAGTGGTACATATAAAATCACCTAAATAATTGGGCAAGGCCCATGCATAACATATAATATTGACATAAAGAAATGTTGTGAATACTTTCCCTTGTAGTGAAAATAGTGTCCAGTAGTGAAAAAATAGGAATAAGTAAGTTGTGGAACCTTAAGAATGAATGGAGTGGAAGGAGAAGACATGAAAGGGAGGGGGGACAAGGTAAAGAAGAACAAGTAACTTTATTGCAGTAGATCTCATTGCTTAAAGCTACTTTCTATAGAAGTGGAAGCATTATATGATATATCTGAGAGTAGGGTCATGTATCTTGGTCTTGGAAATAATATTACATATAGGCATAGTAAACTGAGTTAGTTGATAGTGCATGTTAATAATAATATGAAGACAATATTTGAGATTCAGATGAGGAATATATTAAGCACTTTGTGTAGACTTTATGATCATATCAATGAGTTACATCTGCTATCTAAGAACCAACAATTTGAAAGCTACAGAGAGTCTGGCTGCAATTAATGTGTGAATGAGAAAGATCCACATTGATAGTGCCAGTTTAGGATCAGTGGTGAAGAAGTCAGTAAGTGATGCAATGAATTGGAAAATATATCTCCCAAAGGCAGTTAGTAGTCTGTAGATCCACAAAGAAATGTGTCTCTCCAGCACATTGGAGACTGTTTTGGGAAAGTTGCAATCGACCTCTGGAGCATCATCTGTGCAATAGTTTTTGTGATAATTCCCAGTATGCTAAACCAGGTGAATTGAAGTTCTCGTTCCCATTCTTCCTTAGTTTCTAATTTTACTGATAGATTGGGGCCAGACAAGAGCAGATATATCAAATTTCTTTTTATTTGGATCTATGATCTTTGTAAAAAGTGATACGCTCCTTGATAAGGGGATTATCCTTAGCAATAAAGGTATTTGCAGTAGTCTTTGCAAGGGATCCCATATGTTGAGCAGCAAATAATTATAAGTACAGGTTACCAACAGTTTGGCTGTTTGCAGTTTCCCAGTATTTAGGGTTAGGGTCTGTGATAAGTGAACCTATGGATGTCAGTGGTAGCTGTTATGAATCAAGCACACTGCACTTGGGAGGATTGGGTCAGTGAGACCCAAACCCTTAATGCAGCAGTAACAATATCTGGGTAGCATTTGTAGGCATGGCTACTTAGCAGTGTAATTTAAGATCAACTGCTGAAGAATCCATTTTAATTTGTTTCCATAGTTTGGTAGTGTTAGAAAACCACCATTGTTTAGTTCAGTCTAAGATTGCTGCTTATTAATAATTGAAGATATTTGGGCTCTCATCCCTGCATTGGATTTAAGGGAATACAGGCTTTTTTTGCCAGATATTTTATTACCCCAAATGTAGATGTCAACCTACCTTTGTAGATTCTGTAAGTATTTTGGAAGGATTGGTTTGGGCAAGGATCGAAATAAGTTTAGTACATATGGAAGGATAAACATTGTAGTTAATGCAATTATCCGTGCCCATTAGACTAGTGTCATCTGTAGGTTTTTATATAAGCTTGCTCTTTTCAATGGTAATCTGTTCTAAGTATATGGCTATGGTACTGAATAGGGTGGGCTGGATTCGACTGGAACATCGCTAGTTTGTGTATTTGTCGAACAAACAAACTATAAGGGCGCTTGGCAGTCTGTTTGACTGCTGAACTTCCCACAAGGCAATGCGCCGTGTGAAGCCCTAATTGGCTAAAGGCTTGCACCTGACCACATACACTTTTTATGGCCAATAACTTGCATATAAGGCATCAAAAAGGGGACATTTGATTTTCAATTTCTACCCCCATAGACTTGCACTGAGTTTGAATACAAACTTTCTCCATATTAAAAAATTAGTATTCGAACTGAACAGGGAGGTGTTTAGCCCATCACTAGTACTGAACAAGTTGCTACCAGGGGAAGTCAAATGTAATCGCTAAATAGTTCAAAATTGATGATGGTGCCCATGAGAATGAGAATCCACAATATATATCGGCTTCAGGTTGGGGTGCTAAACTATAGACATGTAAGCCTGCAAAAAAAGTGTTTAATTTAGTTTAGTTTTGGATTTTTCGTTATTTCATTGTTTGTGATTCAGGTCCGAATGTTAATTTGGTTTGGGATTCAGATTTAAATGAATATTAGTTGCAAGCAAAGTGACAGAAAAAAGGAAAGAAAATTACTATTTTTTACAGTCCACAGAAACGAAAATCCGAATTGAAATGTGTACAAATTTCAAATTTGAACGGAACAAATCGCCAGACCTTTGCTCGGATCAAAGGTCTCATATGGAATTTTAGGGGCACCCCACGTTTCCCCCCCCCATTTTTGCTGGTGGGGTTCCTCCATATAATTCCTACCAGTCCATAAGGTTCTGTTATGACTTTGAAGGGGAACCCCAAAATTTTTTTTTACATGGGGTCCCTCCTCAATATGCCTACTAGACCTTAAGGGCCTGGTATGATTTTGGGGGAACCCCATGCTATTTTTTAAATGTAGTCCCTCCTAACATTCCTACCACACTTAAATGGCCTGGTATTGTTTGGGAGGAGGGAAAAGCAATCTAATTCAAATTCAACTTTGAACAAAACAAATCACACATGTCTACTAAATTCATTGCCAACATTTAAGATTTAAAGTCTTTAATTTTATAGAGGGGGATTCCCTCATATTCTTTGAGCAGCTGCTTTTAGGATGGTAGTGATTGCAAAGGGTTTGTTCACAAAACCATAATCAGATCAATTATCCTCCTGGTCCTGTCTGGGTCTAGCTGCCCAGCAACAAATCTAACCTGATCAGGATGTAATAATTGAGGGATAATAGAGAGTAATCTGTTTGTCAATAATTTAGCTTAGATCCTAAGGTCGGTGTTTAATAAGGATATGCCTGTAGTTTTCCAGGTCTGACAAGGACTTATCAGGTTTGGGGATTGTTATAATAACTATGTCAAACATTTCCTTGGGTAATATACCTGTAGTGACTGCTTGGCTTGAGTCCTGGCATAAGTGAGGTGCAAGTCAACAGAGGTATTGGTATTACTTGACACTCCGAAGGATCGGCCGAAGCTACGGCCAGATCCTTCGGCAGCTTTGTGAATAGACCCCTAAGTCTGTCCAGCCCTGGAGCCCTGTATAGGGGAGATTTTAAATCAGCGACTCCACCACGAAAAAAAGTCCTGATAGAGTAGCTAGGTGATCATTGGAAATTTTGGAAAGATGCACTGTGACGGGCAAATCTTTAAATATCAGCAGGGGTGTATTGTTTTTGGATCCCTGTAGGTTACAGGGAGAACAGTAATACATCATTAGTAATCTCTAGTGGGATAGAGATGATGCCTTGGTCAGTGATCGCTGATATTTCCTGTATACTGTATTCCTTGTTTGTTTCCTATTTCCTATTCTCATAGGCACCCATTTTGATAAACAAGCCCTTAATACATGTTTTATGAGCATTCCATACCAGAACATCATCTTGTACATAGTTTAAATTCATTGGAACATAAGAAGTGAATTCAGATCTAATCTGTTTGCTGTAATTCAGTTTAGTGAGGAGAGTGGAGTTCAGTCTCCAAATGGTAGGTTTCAAAAACATGGGGATATCAATACTGATTGGTGTTTACATGTCTTCTCTAAGCTAAGAGTGTTTATTAGAGCTCCTACCTGTGTCAGCAATGTGTTTGATTGCTAGCTCTTAGGCAGTCACCCTATGGCTGATGTTTTTGTGTTCTCATTCTTGTTGTTTTTGAATTCTAAATTTTACTTTCTTTTTTAGCTGCAGTTTTTTATGTAACGTTCTTTTGGAAGGTGGCGGGAAAGACTGAGCAAATCGCTATCAGGATTACAATATTTCCAATGTGGCACAGAATAATAACTAGTTGCAGGTTCAGTCATCAGGATATTGGAAAAAAATCCAGAAGGCTTCCAAATGAAGGGGGACTGCACTTTTAACAGATAAAGATCGGAGTTGCGTGGTAGTCCCATCATAGAAGCAAGGCATATCCAGGTGGAGAAACATGTAGGCCAAACAACATGAACACTAAGACTGTCGTAGGGGAGACACGGAAGGGAAACGATAGGGAGGGAGTGAGTGACCTGTGTGTGGAGGTGGAGTAGGTGAAATGGTTAATCCATACTAAGAGGGGTATAAGCTGTTATAAAGTTAACAATCTGTGTTGGGCGTCAGATGCAAAATAATGAGCTATCCAAGGCTGCCAGATTGCTTCAAATTTAGCCATGGAGGTGTTAAGCTGTGCCATGCATTTTTCGTGTGATAGGATCCAGTGGACGTGGTTTATTACAGAGGAGATAACGGGGGGATGGAGTCTGCCAATTCTTAGCTATCTCTCTTTTGGCGGAAGTGGTAACTAAAAGGGCTAGTTTGAATGCAGTGCAGGAAAGTTTGGCAGTGTTGTAATTTAGTAGGGCGAATTGCGAATTTTTTGCTATTGGCATGGACAGTATTGTGGAGAGGAGGTTAAAGATCTCGTTCCAGAATTTAGAGACTAGGGGGCAATGCCACCATATGTGGATAAAAGTGCCACGCTCCTGACAGCCTCGAAAACAGTTCGGGGAGCAATCTGGGTTATATAGTGCCACTCTGCTGGGTACCATGTACCACCGCAAGAGGACTTTATAGTTGATTTCCAACATACTCGCACATCTCACACTAGATTTGGTGATCTCCCAAATTTTAGTCCATTTGTCTTCTTCAATGATTGTATTCAGATCCCGGTTCCATTTGGAGGTGTATGAGGGTGGTGGTGCCTCGGGTGGAGTGAGAAGGGTAAAGTATATGAGAGAGATAAGACCCGGTCGATGTGGGTCATCCCGACAGACCCTTTCAAACCATGTAAAGGATGTATAGCTCCTGTCTCTTGGGGCAATGTTGAGTATATAATTCTTGATTTGTAGGTATCGGAATACCTCTTTAGTCGG